ATATATTATGATAGAGAATAATATATTTATCAAACATTATTGTTTTAAATTATATCTACAAAAAAAAAATTAATTATGTTTTAATAAATAAATGGGCTAAAAAGAGAGCCCATTAAGCTCAAGCACATTAGCATATTCCATTATCAATTGATTATTTAATGTGGAGAGAAGGAAGAATTTTTATTTTATTGATTTGAACAGCTTATATGTTTATTTCTTGCTCTTCAAGTTTGTCATTACTGTGAGAAATATTACGTCCGGACGGCCAATCATCGGCGGCCACGTTATCTTACATGTGCTGACATCTGGACTTTCAGACGAAATATTTTTTGTGCTTTATTTTGAAATTTCAATTCATATTATAAACTATTTGTCAATTTAACTGAAAAATTATAAAAAATGACTTTACTTGTGAATAAATGAACTTTCGCGGGGCGAACCCGTGAAGGTATAAATTGGGGTTGTGAATGAGTCGAGCTTGAGCGAGCTCATGTTTGGATTGTGTTTGGCTCATTTGAAGGTAATTTTGTTTGAAATTGGCTCACGTTTGAAATTGCTCTTAAACAATATGTTTTTGTATGACTTGATTTACATATTCTGGTTTGAGTTTGGTTGTGTTTGGATCGAAGCTGGCTCGTTTAAATTAATTAGAAAAAAGGATATAGGGTGTTAAATTCGAACATGCACCATTTTTATGCAAAAAAAAATACGAAGTCACATAACCTCACAAGGTGTATTGATTTGAACTTAGTTACAAATATATATCACATATATTATATAAATAATATATGTATATAATTTTCTTATTTATAGCTGAACGAGCAGAACACTATAGAACATAGGGCTGTTCGTATTAGAATCGTTTATAATTCAAGCTTAAGAAATTTATTGGTGTTCGACTTATTAATTAAAAAACTATTCAAACATGGGTTACTTAACTAGCTGAACACGAGTTGTTCGCTAACAACAAACTTATTTGACAAGCATATTGTAAATCATTAGGTCAAAACCAAATTCATAAAACTCAATTTGGTTCTAAAACAATTATACGTATACAATCATAGAGATGTGATCGAGCTAAGTCGACTAGCAAGCCTACTCAAATTAACAATCTTATGAGTCATTGTGGAGCACAAGCTTGCCTTATTACTCTCACATCAATCGAGGTAGAGTTCAATTTTTACCTTAATTTTGATTTTTAAGGAAGATTACATAGATACCACCCATTTCTTATGTATTTACATATCTAACATCTGAATTTCAAGTTTTACACATATGCCATCATTAATGTGCACTAAAAGATGTACTTCACCTCTTGCAAGTTAAAATAGTGATATTTTGTGCGTGACATAAAAGTTTTGAGTGATGTGAATATAAAAAATAAAATTTGGATGTTAGTTATGTAAATACATAACAATTGGATGGCATGTATGTAAGAACTCACTTTTTTTAATTCATATATCCATAATCCAAGTATTATTCTATTCAGTCAAACATTAAAATTTAATTCTTTACCCTTCATGATTAATTACAATCAATATTGGAGAAATTTATCTATGAAAAAATATTACATCAATTCAGGCGTGCCACATGTCCGGACCAGCACTCATGGGACGTCACGTCACCCACAAATGACGAGATATATGATGACATAACATCGTCGCAACACGACAATAATGTCTCATTTATCTACATTGATTACTCTTGAATCTATCGGATTTAAGTAACCCATCCATGAGCTGCGCTAGCCTGCGTGCTCCAGCTCCAGGCTCAATCCTCCTCTCATCGCCAACTTCCGAACACATCGGCAATCCCGAGCACCACCCTCCCGGCACAAAATTCTCGTCGCCAATGCCGTGCCGGTTGAGGAACTCTTCGTCGATCCGACTGAGAACAGACTCATTCACTCTGAATTTACGAGCGAAGGGAGCTTTGCTGCTGATAATGTTGTGGAGGTCGGCGCTGGCGAGGTTGCGGGGGTGCTGCTTGGGGGGATTATCCCATGAGATGTAGCGGAGGTCATGGTTGATGACGGTGGTGGTGAATTCCGGCGAGTTGCAGAGTAGGGTTTGGAAGTAGAATTCGGAGGAGGAGATGAAGTTGGAGTAGTACATTAGGAGGATTCTTGGTAGATTATCCCACCCTTGGATGAAGAATTCTACAAAATTTCTTGAGAGAACCATCCAGGCTGATCCTGCATGATTTTCTCTTTGAACTTTGATCACTTGTTATAATTATGGTCAAAAGAAATATATTTGTTGAATTCATGGGTTTTGTGAAGGAAGGTGGGGAGTATGCGGCGTGCTAGAATCCAGTATATTATAGGTTCGAGTTGGTTTGGTATGATTGTAAGTTGTTCATGTTCGGTTTGAGCTTGTGTAGAGCCTTCACAAATTATTTAAACTTGAAGTTTTTATTAATTGATGATAATATATTAATTAATATTAAATATATAATTAATTATTTTTTAGCATATTAAATTTTATTTAAATAGTATGTCATATATGATATGAGCTATCATCTTTATTAAAATTAAATATTTAACAAGTTATTTGTTTAGCAATAAATGCGTTTGTTCGTGAACATATATAAATAAGTTCGAGTATGTTTATGTTTAGTTCATTTAACCTTAGATCATTTAAAAAAAATATATTTTGTGAGTTTAACATATTGTAAATTTTGTAGTTAATTGGGCCTATTATGATGGTTTTTGTCTTGATTTCTATTATTGAGGCATGAATTTAAGCTATATTTATCAAAGCAACTAATATTTTTGAAAAATATATATAATATTTAACATAGAAATAAGTTATTATCCCATTAAAAAATTTAAAAGTGAATTATTTTATTAATTTTTTTTATAAATTAGTATTAGTAACCAAATAAGAGTAATTTAAGAGTGCATGGGGCATTTAAATGCATAGCACACAATTATTATGTATTTACAATCTCACACCCAAGCTTTCATATTTACATTTTTATAATTGTATTTTCCTAATACTTTATTTGATTAAATTTCTTAACATTTAAAAAAAACACTTAATATTTTCTCAACAAATCAAACACAAAATGTTAAAACTTTATTCATTATATATATTTTC